GTCTCTGGATCCTGGCCTTTGATGGGGTTACATGGCAATTGGTGGGTGTAACTATCTAGCTACTGAAAGGCCCAGTCCCGAACCAAGGAGGCTTGTAGATCTCAGCCCCTGGTCTCCCACACCTGGGTTCTTCTGCCGGTTCCTTCTTGCATGAGGCTCATCCAAGCAAGTAGAGAGTGGTCTCAGCATGGCTTTGACTGGGTCCCGGAGCTCTTCAGCTGTCGGGCCCTGGTGAGGACAGTCAGGCACGGGGATAGGAGACTATGCTTTGTTCTCTTCCAGGAGCTTGGTGTTATAGTCTCTGGATTTGTAGAGGATACTGTTTGTTTGTTTGATAATTTGGGACGAGATAATGCATTTCTCTTTTGGAAAATATATATGTGTTCCTAACTCCTAACTAGTGGGATAATAAGGGTATTTTTGCTGTCAACTTTCATCAAGTTAGAAGTCTAAAAGACCTGACTAGATTCTTCCATGGGAATTTGGGTAACGTATATATGTGCATCATTTTCCAGGAACTTACAGATAAGGCTCCATATTAAAAATAAAACAGAATAGATGAACAAATATGTCTGCTATTTTAAAATGGTAATATTTGTACTTGCATTTGCATTTTGTAGTATTTTCAAATGGGGACAGAAATTTCATGTTTTCTAGATAATGCAAGAGACTAGTTTAGACTGTATAAGTAATGAATTTTCTAATTAGATTTTCTTGTAATTTTATATGTATACTGCAAAAGAATAAATATTCTAGTCTGTGTATGTTCAGTTAACACTATTATTGACTTTAGTGAGTTTGTCTGAAAGATTAAAGCCTTATTAGACCAATAGGCCAATCAAGTTGGAGTTTTTGTTATTATTCTTGTTTTTTGGGGGGTGGGTGAAGAAGAGGTCTCCCCAGCAGTACTCCGAGAGTCCAGTGACGACTCCCAGAAGGACACTGCCAACCAGCAGAGCCCAACAGTGTAGTGCAGTCAGGCCTGATTGAACTGCATTTCTTGGGGAGACACCAGAGTCTCACCAAGCAGTGCTCAGAGGGGCTTGTGGTCTGCAGATTGAACTTGAGTTCTGGTCTACTGTCTCCCAGCCCCAAACCAACCTGTTCTGTTGTCTGTTTACTGACTTTCTAAATTATATTGATTCACGCCCACTGTACACTTCTTTTACATGCCACGCAGAAAGTATCTGTGGCCTTGGTTATGTGTGTTATTTATGCAGCACCTGCCTACTCTAAATGTTGGAGTTTACCAGGTGTAATCTCCTCTTATCACTTTCCTTTCCTGAACAAGCTCATCCTCTTTACAGTTTTAACTTTCCATTTATCAGTAGTTTCCAAATGTCTATCTCTTACCTAAATCTCCTTCTGGCTTTCCAGACTGGTTTTCAGAGAAATCTCCAGGCACATCAAGGTACTTGTGTCTGAAATGACACTTGCCATCCTCTCCCTCTCCAGTTCCGCTCCTCAGGAGCTCCCTATCAATTTTATTCTTACACTCTCTCTTGCCAGAAACCCAAGAGTAGTTTTTGACTCCTATCCTTTCACTTTTACCCCCCTCAACTCAAATCTGTTTTCTAGTTCTCTCCGTGTCTGCTGCCAGGAAACTGTATCTTGTGTTTTTCCCTTTTCTCACTCACTCTTGACATCATTATCTTTTTCCTGTTTTCATGCAGTTGCTTCCTAACCGGTTTCTCCACCTCTGGTTTGACTAACTCTAGTCCATTGACAAGTAGATGCCAAAGTGAGAAGTTAAACATGTAATTATCCTGGTCTGTTAGCTATCATTAAAGTGTTTCCTTAAAAAAAAAAAACAAATATAGTATTTCTCATGAGCTGTCCTGTATAATAGCAGTATCCATGGATAGTCTTGTTAAACAAGGAACAAAAAGCCTTCCAGGAATAATGTGTATTCCTTATCTGTTCATTATATTCCTAATATAAAACTTCTTAACTTAAAATACAGTTTGCCTTCATACTCTTTCCTCTAGGGAAACTTTTCATAGCATTTTCAGTGGTTTTTCATAACAAACAATACACGATAGATTGTTTCACTTCTTCTTTGGGGCAGGGGTTGGGGTTCAGGATGGAAGCATATGAAATATGGTGGTTGGAAGATGTAATGGCAGTGGGATTGGTGTTCAAATATTAAGTGTAATCAAATATTGTAAACTACTTTAAAAATAAAATTTAAAAATTTAAAAATACAGTTTGCCTTCTATGAAAATGCTTTTACCTCATTATTGGAAGAACAGGGATTTTAGGATCCTCGTAAACATTTTCTAAATCCTTGACTATAAAAAGTGAAGTATGGTGTTACCTAAAATAGATATATACTAATATATATCTATATAATATATATATGTACTCATACATATGAAAGATATATTTAAATACAGATATACATAGCATAAACTTAGTTTCACCAATTAATTAGAATTTTGTAGTTTAAGTTTTAAATAGTTTTGAGGAATGATTGACAAGATGAGGCTAAATTTTGATAATTCATAACTATGCTTTTATGCCAATAAGATATTTCCCTTCTTATTTAGTATGATATAATAAGCTACCTCATATTATCCAGACTCTATTTCTGACTCTGTGGTAGGAAAAAATAGGAACAAAACAAATAGTCTCATCTTATTGTCTGTTGACAGTGATAGACAGAAGCACATGCATCATTAAATTCCTTGTCAAATTCAAGCCATACAGCTCCTTTTGCCAGGATTTTCTACCTCTTACTCCAGAAAGCCTATTGTTAGAGTTGCTACTAATAACTGAAATGGTGGGTTTGGATTTCAATTTAATTTTTCCCCTTCCTTTAATGAAGATACTAATAAACAATGGTTTGAGTCAAGAGTCAGGATATAAATCCAAGAAAGAGATACGTAGAGTTAAACGATCTAAAAAGAAGCACCCCTGAAATGCTAATTGAGCTCTCATTGAGTTGAGTACTATTCTTATATTTATTTATCATTATTATTATTCCTTCATTGTTGCAATAACCAGAGGTTGTACATACTTGGTGATGTTGGGGCGTGGGGGGTGGGGTTACACACTTTGTAGTGGACCTGGGGATCCCAAGCAACAAAGTCACTTACCAAGGTCATAATTAATTCTGTGGGGTCATACTGGGGGTTAAACTCATGGTCTTATATACCTTATACTTGCAAGGCAGGGACTCTACCACTGAGATATACCCAAACCCCAGATATATCTAGATAATGCTGATGCAACCTTAGGAGACTGAATGAAGTGTGCCAATTAGCTAAATGTTTTTTTCTAATACAATTTGGAAAATTCATGTTTTTTAAATTACTTACTCCTAAGGATAAGCAAATATTCTTCTGTATTCATTTTAAAACAGATATTTAGATGGGTATGTGAGGTGGGGGACGAAGAAATGTGAAATTTAACCTTGTGTCATTAGGTTTCTTAGAAAAGAATGGTTTCTTTTATTTCTTAATATAATCTCCAGGAGTCTCCTGGAGTTAACTGGAGGTAACTTGGTTTGAATGTGTTGGGTTCATAAATGGAAATAGAAATCATTGAAACAGGTAAAATGAAGAAAGGGATTAAGAAACTGAGAACTAGAATTCATAGTATGTTAGAAATAGGGGTTGGAGTGATAGCACAGCAGGTAGGGCGTTTGCCTTGCATGCAGCTGACCCCGGTTCAATTCCCAGCATCCCATCTGGTTCCCCGAGTACTTCCAGGAATGATTCCTGAGTGCAGAGCCAGGAGTAACCCTGTGCATTGCCAGGTGTGACCCAAAAACAAAGTAAAAAAAAATAGTATGTTAGAAATAAAGACAACCTATTCAATGAACGAATGGATGTTCTTTTGCACCAGCTTCCCTCCACCGGTGTACCCAGTTTTCCTCCCAGCTCGGAGCCTTCCTCTGTGGCAGGCACTTTTTCTTGTTTCCTTTTTATTTCCTTTTTGTGCACTGTGGTTTACAAAACTGTTACTGATAGGATTTCATGCACAGTACTTCCTTTCAGCACCTAGTCCTGGTTCAGAGCCACTTCCCTCCGTCATTGTAGTGGTCCCTTCCCTGACTAAACCTACCACCCTCACTCCACAACTGGCAAGCTTCCTACTCAGGACTAGTTCTCCAGCTCTTTGTTTCTATTGCTTTGGGCTCTAGTTATTCCCCCAATGTATTTCTTTGTATCCCCAAATAAGAATAAGATCACTCTCAAGTAGCACTTTCTTGGCATTCTCTCCGAGTTAGCTCACTTTCCAAAGGAACCTTGAATAAAAGAAAGTTCCAAAACCTCCAAACAAATCAAGGATTTCCTCAGTTTCCAAAATCAACCAGCGCAGGCTGAGTGGAGTTGGAATAACACTGCCTCTTACCCTACCATCATGCCTCCATCTGCAGCATTAATGAGCATCTGTAGCATTCAGGAAGGTTTCTCTGTGCATGCAAGGTGAAAGGAAGGAGCGTGTTTGAGTTCCAGCTTTGAAGCTGATGTGTTAATTGTTAACTTTTGCTGAGTCTGTACATTAAAAAAGGTAACAGTCTCAGCATGTTAAGATCATAACTGTTAGATGAGCCTTGGAGGCAGCAGCTGTGCTGATGGGAGGCATTAATGGCTGCCGGAGTCCAATCAGATATGCCGCCCCCAGTGTCTTTGTGTGGTGGTATTTACTGAGTCGCAAATGGACTGCTGAGAAAGATGAAATATAATCTCCTGTATTATCTCTGTCTTTTAAAAAAAAAAGACAATGAAGTTGTTCTCTTGCTGGAATATATTTCATTAATCTTTGTAAAGTCAACTTAAAGAATAGATGTCCCTGTAGAGTTGAAACATTTTGGTTGATGTGTTTGTGAGTTCCAGGGACAGTGGGGTCAGGTGGAATAAGTAAGTGATTTTTTTCAAACCTCTCAAAGAGAATTGTGGCTTCTTTTGGGGGCTAACTGAAAAAAGAAAAAATGCAAGATAATTTATTTACAGCAGAATTTTTTTTTCTTTTTCTTATTTCTTTCCTCACAGAGTCTGGAGAAAGTGCTTATGGAATTCAATCACAAGGAGTTGTTTGAATTTTATAACAAGGTCTGTATTTTCAAGATAATTTTTGATTAAGTGAACTATGGGGTGGTGTTTCTTATGAATTATGATTTTTAAATGCCATATTATAGAGTTAGGTGTTTTTTTTTTAACTTCCCTTATGTTACACAGTTGGAAGCATTGCCTAAAAGAGAAACTGACAAACTAAATCAAGAAGAAAGTGGAAAAGTGGAAATGGTTTTTGTTAAAGCAGTAATTGTTGCTTTATGTAAAACATTCAATAATGAACTATGTAGCCACCTTGGCATGTTAGATGTAGGTTGTTAATGATTTAATTTCTGGGCCCAAGAGAAGAGGAAAATGCTAGGCTTTTAACAATTTATCTCTGAGCATATTTCACATTTCTTTACGGTACTGACTCCACAATGTAAGGAAATAACACTATTGCCATTTTCCTTAAAAATAGTGGCAATTAAAATCAAATAACTAGGTATATTCAAAGCAGTAATTTGAGAAATTGCCCTTTGCAAATTTCAAGGCTTAAATTATAAGCATAAACTTCCACTATCTTTCTGTAAAGAGAACAATGTTCTTGTGGGGGAGAGGGGGAAGGGCGGTTGGAGAGAGTACAAGGGTTAATTAAGGTACATACCTCATATAGTGCCAACCCCAGCTCAATCCCCAGCACCAGACATTCTGTGTGTGACCCTTGAACCCCCAGAGAATGTCAAGGTGTGACCTTGGTAACTCCCAAGGTTCCCAGAATGCTGCTGGGAGGGGTGGGATGGGGGCAACTGGCGCCCCATCCCTCACCCAGCCAGCACTTCAGGCCCTCACATTGAGTGACAGGGAGTAGCCAAGTGCCCCCAGAGCACCACTTGAAAGGCCCCCAACAAAAGTTCTAAGATTTATTTTGTTGCTATGTATGTCAGTTAAAATGCATGGTTGCTAATACCATCGTTGTTCTCTTTCCTTCACTGATTTTTCTCTTTCTCTCCTTTTCTTTACCTCCATGTTTTGTTTGTTTTTGGAAATAGCTCGAGACCATACAAGCTCAGCTGGATTCCCTCACATGAAGATTGGTTTCTCCATCACATTCCCGCCACCTCATCTGGTTGTGTTTTCTGAATAATTTGGTGGCTTCCTTCTTGTAAATTAAGTGAATATTGCTTCTTAGACTAGAAATAGCCAAGAGATACCACTTAGCGAGTACTAAGGTTCTAATAAATGTTTTCTAGTTGTGTGAGCCAATTGCAAGCCGTTGTTAAGAATACTTGCTTTTTATTGAAACAGATCATGTGAATACTGTATTGCTTTTTTCTATTGCATTGATGTTTTATTGCCTGCCCTGTATTCTTTATATGCATTTGTTCACTGCTTTTTTTCCAGGAATAAAGGGTCTAATGTATACCTCAGAATAGTGGTTTTCAAACATTTATCCATAAGCCAGTCCTGTCCATGGGTGTGAAAAGGTTAAAAGTTACTATTATATTCAGATTGCCAGTACTTATAATACTATTGAAAATCAGAAAGCAGCCAAATGAAAATACATTTTCAATTTTCCCTTGAATATTCTGGACAAAATTTTGCTTTGGAAATAATGTAAGAAAGAAATATAAAATAGAGGCAGTGGCAGAGTAAAATTTAATATGAGCTATTCTGTGTGCTTTCATTTACTCTCTGAATATAATGATTTAATAGCAGCCCAGGTTTTCGTATACATTTATTTACTGAAAATTAATAATGATTCACTTCGTAATCTTGGAGACATTCAAATTGTGAATTAAAAATATATAATGACAGCTAAATGATCAGCATTAAAATTTCAGAATACATACCCTGTGCATTCTTTTTCTGCAAATATGATAATTTCAGTCAATAAATATTTTATATTTTAAAATTAGTTGAAGGGTATAGCATTTATACTATGAATGCATTTAAATATAAGTAAGGTTGCTTGTAAAAAATAATTTCAGTTGAATTTTTTATGAGTGAAATAACTTTTTTGTATTGTTTCCATGCAAAGAAGCATGGAGGTAGGGTTGAAAATGAAAAGAAAAATCATATAAATAACTGTAATTGTCACTGTCCTCCCATTGTTCATCAAGTTGCTCAAGCGTGCCCAGTAACATCTCCAGTGTGAGACTTCTTGTTACTGTGTTTAGCAGATAGAATACGTCACAGGTAGCTTGCCAGGCTTTGCCGTATGGGAAAGATACTCTTGGTAGCTTGCCGGGCTCTCCGAGAGGGGCGGAGGAATTGAACCTGGGTCGGCTGGGTCGGCCGCATGCAAGGCAAACTCCCTACTGTGCTATCACACAGTAGTTATCTAAATAACAGGAATGTTAAAAAGATGAAATAGGTCATTTTAAATATTTAGCATAATTCTTGATTTACACACAATCACATAAAAGTGTGAGATGTCATTTTCACTACCAGTAAGCAAATGATTAGGTTTTCAGTTGAAATTGTTCCAAGTAGAGTTTGGATTAAAGTCAAAATTGCAGAAAGCTTGCTTTGAAACCCCTTCACTTTGAATTTACTTATGTTCCAAAGTTCTATGTTCATAGTGCTGAAGTTGAATAAAATGTCAACCTGTCCTATTCAATTCTTTATTGACAAATAAGATCATAAGTATATTATAGAAAGGGACCAACATCAGTGTGCGTGTGTGTGTGTGTGTGTGACATTTCTCATAATTCTTCTGACCCAGCAGCATCTTACTTTTCTCTAACAATATTCAGTGACTTTGTTTTTGTTTTGTTTTATTTTGCTTTTTGGGTCACACCCAGCGATGCACAGGAGTTACTCCTGGCTGATGCACTCAGGAATTACCCCTAGCGGTGCTCAGGGGACCATATGGGATGCTGGGAATTGAACCGAACCCAGGTCACCATGTGCAAGGCAAACACCCTACCCGCTGTGCTATCGCTCCAGCTGTATTCAGTGATTTAAAAAAAAAAAACTCACCAGCTTCTTATACACCTTTTCATTATATTGGGAGCTTAGCAAACAGCTGTGGGCCAAATCCAGCTCACTTGTTTTTATAAAGTTTTGTTGGAACACAGCTGTGGTGGACAAATCTTTAATCTTCCCTGCCTCTTGGTCTTCACACCCTTCTATATAAGCATTTCCATTTGAGTATGACAGGGTTTTCCTTGCTTCTGACTAATGGATTGTCACTCCCATGGTTATGTTATGGTATGGTCTGGTATGTAGAATTTCTAACTTGCTATCTCATTCACTCTAGAATTTTTTCTTCCTTCTTGGCTTGGAAGAAACAAACTTCGATAGTGTGAGAGGGGTTAGAGATGGGGGCCACATGGAAAGGAATTGCTGGTGACCTTAGGAATGAGGGTGACAAATAGCCAGCAAGAAGGTGAACCTCTTGGCCAACGATGAGATGAATTCTGCAAACAACCTGAATGCATTTGGAGGGGTTTTTTTTCACCTTCAAGTTCACCTTCAAGCCGGAAAACAAATTCACCTTGAAGTTTTTTTTTCACCTTCAAGTTCACCTTCAAGCCAGAAAACAAATAGAATACAGCTGACCATGCCTGCAGCCTCAGGACAGTTGTGAGGTAATAATTTGTTTGTTGGTTTAAATTTCTGAATTTGCATCATTGTGTTATTATACCAGATAAGTAAAGCAACAGCCACACTCTTCACTTACATACAATAATACAGACTTTGGTTGCCTTTGCACTAGCGCAGAAGAATTGTATGGTTGCAGCAATGATCTTGTGACTCACAGAGTCTAAAATCTTGACTGCTGGACTCTGCAGAGAAAATATTTGTGGCCTCATCCCCACACTGTGCTTCCTAACACAGAGCCTCCCTAGATAAATAAAGCAGTTGATAGGGAGACACAAAGGGCCAGAAGATGGATATTCTATTTGCTATTTGCTGCAGTTTCTGCTGCATACAAGTAGATCTCTCCATTAAAATGTAAGTAGAGATGACATGTCACTTCTCTTGTCCCTTTCTGTGACTCTACCGTAGACTGAGAAATGAGTCAGCTTTGAGCAGACAGGGGAGCTGCCTCGGGACGATGGGAGGTTCTTCCATGTCTCATGAAGCAAACGAAATAAAAGAGCTTGTTGGAGCAACACAATTTTTGATCTTTCTAGTAATATAGCAGCTTAGCCCAACACTTAACTAATGGAGGGTAACATGATTTAAATTATGCAGTACTTTAGAGCATCTATATTTTTAAAGGGAGATGATTATTTTATGGTCCATAGTTTAAAATACAAATAAAAGTCACCAAGAACCCGGGGACCTTCAAAAAAAAAAAACTTTTTGCTTGCCATCTGCAAGTTCGGGCTAAAGCTTCAGAGCTCCTAGAGGTACTAAATCCACCCTCCGCCATGCGGCTGCTGGAAAAAAAGTTAGAGAAACCATTGGTGTCTGTTGTGAATTCCTTCACAGTCTTTCTGAAATCCTTTTTCCATAATTAAAGCCAATATATTGACTCGGTGGACTTACTCATTAGAAGCTGCTCAGAAATTCAAGTTAAATTCTTCAGATGTGTCCATTTTGCTTCCTGAAACTTTGATTCTTGTCATCATTATGCAAATTATTCTTGTCCTGGCCAGCCCATTTAATGAAAAAATTAATAGCACATTAATTTGTAGCTATAAAATCCAGATCCCGGACGAGAGCAGTGCAGTCTCTGCCCCCGCGCCTCGGTGTTCCTTCCCGGAGTCCCTTGGAGGGGAGCGGGTTGAGCTTTCCTCCCCGCCCCGGCCAGGGCTACGGCAGCCGGAGACCTCCAGGACCAGCCACCACCATGCTGAGACCACTCTCCGCACACCTGAAGGTACTGGCAGAGGGACAAAGCCACGCGGGTTCCGGGGCCGAGACCTCCAAGCCTACTCGAATTGGAGTCGAGCATCTTCCACCCAGATCCTCCAAATTCCAGTAGGCGGGGGTCACACCCACCACCTGGCCCCCTGGCGCCGTGTAATCCCATCAGCGGCCAAGACTCAGAGACTATAAAATCCAGATCCCGGATGAGAGCAGTGCAGTCTCTGCCCCCGCGCCTCGGTGTTCCTTCCCGGAGTCCCTTGGAGGGGAGCGGGTTGAGCTTTCCTCCCCGCCCCGGCCAGGGCTACGGCAGCCGGAGACCTCCAGGACCAGCCACCACCATGCTGAGACCACTCTCCGCACACCTGAAGGTACTGGCAGAGGGACAAAGCCACGCGGGTTCCAGGGCCGAGACCTCCAAGCCTACTCGAATTGGAGTCGAGCATCTTCCACCCAGATCCTCCAAATTCCAGTAGGCGGGGGTCACACCCACCACCTGGCCCCCTGGCGCCGTGTAATCCCATCAGCGGCCAAGACTCAGAGACTATAAAATCCAGATCCCGGACGAGAGCAGTGCAGTCTCTGCCCCCGCGCCTCGGTGTTCCTTCCCGGAGTCCCTTGGAGGGGAGCGGGTTGAGCTTTCCTCCCCGCCCCGGCCAGGGCTACGGCAGCCGGAGACCTCCAGGACCAGCCACCACCATGCTGAGACCACTCTCCGCACACCTGAAGGTACTGGCAGAGGGACAAAGCCACGCGGGTTCCGGGGCTGAGACCTCCAAGCCTACTCGAATTGGAGTCGAGCATCTTCCACCCAGATCCTCCAAATTCCAGTAGGCGGGGGTCACACCCACCACCTGGCCCCCTGGCGCCGTGTAATCCCATCAGCGGCCAAGACTCAGAGACTATAAAATCCAGCTCCCGGAACGCGCGGCCGCATTCACGGCTGCTTGACATCTTATCAGAACATCTTTTTATGACATCTTATTATCTCATTCCTACTTTGGACAAACTTGCAGGCTGTCGAATGTAGCCTGCCCACAGGGCAGAGTCTGGCAAACTCCCCGTGGCCTACCAAATATGCCAAATACCAGTAACAATGATGGGTCTCATTCTCCTAAAGAGCCCTGAATATAATCTCAGGGCTAGGATGAAAGAGACGTTACTGGGGCCTGCTCGAGGCAATCGACGATTAACAGGATGATGAAATGAAATGAAATGAAAAAAATTTGTAGCATTTTCTAATAAAGCATATGCTACATGTACTTTGAAGAAATTCAAAGAATGTTGTCATTACTCTATTACCCACCCCCCAAGGGGAACTCTACACCATCACCCTGACACTGAATCTTCTGAAAGTTCTTTCACTTGTCCCTGAAGTATAGGACTGTCCTTGCTGATGAGAAGCTGGCCCTCTCAACTCTAGTCATGGCACTTTTCATTGCCTGTTTTATTTATTTTAATTTGAAATGGAAAGTTTCTCACTTTTCATAAAGCAAGTTAAAGTAGGGTAAGTCTATAAATCCCTAAGAAGAGAGTGTGCTTCAGGACTCAGAAAAACTATCAATCTCCAAGGCAGAAAAATAATGAGCATATGATAATGTTCCCTTAGCAGAGCCAGAGTTCAGTTATTTTTAGTATTTTCCCCCCTTAAAAAAAACCTGTGGGGGCCACACACTGTGGGGCTCAGGGGGCCATGCCTTGCACAGGAGCCAACGCAGAGCTCCGCATGTGCACAGCATGTGCTTGCCAATGAGCCACAGACCCCATCTTTAGCCCGACTTTGTGAGACTGAGGATCTTACTTTATGTATTTTCCCCCTTTGGAGGAATCTAGGTACAGGAAAGAGGAGGGAGGCAATGGATGGTGAATTAAATAGTTGCATTTATGTTTGAAATTGAGTTCTGAAAGATTACAATATCTTGTACTTGAGTGGTTTTAAGGAAAAGTCAATAACAAAGTCATTTTCATTGACAATAGGCATAGCTTTGCAGTGAAGCACTAGAATTTGGTGATTTCTCATTCTCTTTCCCTGTGTCTCCTTCTGAGATCGTCAGATTCCTTTGTGCTGTGTGGAGGCCACGTTTCCAATTCTTCCTACAGATTTAATCAGCCCAGCTACCTGTGAAGAGAGCACAAAACTTGCCTCAGAGGCAGATTGTGTGAATGCTTCTGGCTGGAAACTTCAGTGTCCTTCCCTGTCCAGGAGGATGGTTATGTGTTGGCAGCAGAATACAGTAATTTTCCAAATGATCAGAGAAAGGGGTGACTCATGCACCCCTGACTATGTGCTCTATTTCACATGCAGCCCAGCCTCTTGCTGCCTTACATACTGATGTAAGGAGTTTTGTGAACATCAGAGTGCTTTATTATTATTATTTTTTTAATGAATCACCGTGAGGTACAGTTACAGACTTACAAACTTTCATGCTTACGTTTCAGTCATAAAATGATCGATTACCCATCTCTTCACCAGTGCCCATTCTCCACCACCTGTGTTCCCAATATCCCTCCCACCACCACCCCCATCCCCAGCCCCTTTCACCTCTGTGGCAGGCACATTCCCTTTTATTCTCTCTCCTTTTGGGTGTTGTGGTTTGCAATACAGGTATTAAGTGGCCATCATGTTCAATCTGTAGTCTACTTTCAGCACACATCTCCATCCCGAGTGGGCCTTCCAAGCATCCTTTACTTGGTGGTCCCTTCTCTATCTGAGCTGCCTTTTCCTCCAGCATGTGAGGCCGGCTTCCAAGCCGTGGAGCAATCCTCGTGGTCCTTGTCTCATTAGAGCACTTTA